TGGAGGGAGGTTACAGTCTCCTCATCAGTCCACACAGATCTGATGTTTTTGTCTCTTTGATGGATGTTTAAGTACATCATGATTTATTCGCTCTTGCATTTTGATGCATTTTCTCGATATACCAATTTTTTGACCTCCACCAAATCTACTGGAAACCCACACTTAATGTGTTAAACATTTTTGCAAACCATGTTTTCTATTAATATATATATAACATAATTTCTGTGAGAAAAGTAAGTGTTCAGTGTAAACAGAACTGTGTGAAGAAACCCAGATACAAGTTAAGTGAATGCATTTGCAGTCTCAATTAAGAAAAACTGTAAAAATGTGCCCAAACCCTCAAAGCACTTGTCATTTCCCAGGATGTTCTACCCATGATGTGCTTGTTTTGTCCCTTTAGATCAGGGGTGGCCAAAGGAGAGCCGACAGTCTGCAGGTTCTCAGGTTCTCTGTTCTCCATCCACTGATTAACACTCAACAAGTAGAGATGAAGAACTCATCAGTGAAATCACCTGCTGAGGTTGCAGACTGTCGGCTTCCTCACTAAACATAAGCACCTTCCACATGTTGCTTCTGCTTCTTATTGGGCATTACATGTCATGTGATGTTTGACCAGTACGGTCTTCAGTAATCTGAGGTGTATCAGCCTCTGCTGGAATCGGACAGAAAAAGCTAATTTCCAAACTAAGCAGAAGATGATCAGATAGGACGGAACCTACCAGCCAGGACAAACAGATGGTTCCCAGGCTCTCCCTGCTTGATGACGTACTCTCCCTGCTGGTACGTGCGCTCATACATACACTCCACCATGTCTTTGATCTGCTGCAGCTCCAGCCTCTTCAGGTACTGGTTCTTGTTCAGGGCATCTGTCAGCAGCTTCTTTACACTGTTCACAGACAATAAGAGAGGGAGAACAAGAAATGGGACTTCTGCTGTGAAAATAAGTAGTGTATTTAAATGTTGCTCAGGGTGTAAGATCATAATAGATCACAATTTGTTTTGTGCCGTTTGTGCATGTTTTTATAAGTGGAGACAGGAGAGAGACAAGCGTTGAGAAACCAAAGAAAGAAATAAAGATCCTTTGGGCAGTATAAAACTCAGGACAGGCAGAGGTAGCAGTAGGTAGTAAGAAGTAACAAAGTATATTTAACCGACTGTACTTGAAGTGCAGTTTATAGGTAATGCAGCTCTAATGTTTCCATGTAGTTACACTTTTGTTTAGAATACGTTTACCGTTAACTACAGATGTTATTCCTTGTTACTTTGCAGATTCAGATTTTGCATTCACTATGAGATCAACTAAATATGGATCAGCTTCTACTAATTTACTAATCAATATCTTTTTTTTTAAAGCACAAATGCCAAAAAAGTAACACTCCCAGCTTTTTTATTTGTTCAAATCTGTCTGTTTTCTTAGTCTTCCATGTTTTTCATTTTAATTGTAACTGAGTTTTGTTCCCCACTATTTTCTGATATTTTAGATCAAATGATTCATCATCAGTTAATAAAGAAATTAATCAACAGATTAATCTAAAACAATCATTTATTGCCACCCCCCTTGCCTTTTTTATTCTTCATCAGTCTTTCTTTTCTGCTTATTTCTTCCTTCTGTCTTTGTTTTTGTCTGTCTTTCTTTACTTTATTTTTATTTTATTTCCTCTGTATTTCCTGTCTTTTTGGTTTTTCTTTGTCTTTCTTTCCATTTTCTTGACCATACTTACATTTAAATTTATTTTATCTTTATTTATTTATTTCCTTGTACTTTTATGTTAACTGAGATAAAACTTCAAAACATTTACTAACAATGGAGTACTTTTTTCCATTCTAGTTTTACTACTTCCTTAAGTAAAGGATACTTTTAAGTCCTTCTTCCATTGCTGCTTGCAGCTATGTGGTACGTTCCTGAGCCACCGGGACGCCTACGTCCACATTACTCACCACGTTTTTAGTCTGCGTGATAAATATTTTGTCTCCTGTGAGGAGATGACTATTTGAAGCCTCTGGACTCCTTCCGACAATGAATCAAGTGAAACAGCAAAAACATAAAATCATCGTGAGCTGTCAAAGTTCACCGTTGTGCATTTTAACAGCTGCAGCGAGGGGCCGTAAGAAGAAGACATCACTTCCTTTGGGGAGTTGTAAACTGAAAAGGTTAAGAGCCACGGTTGAATGCAAACTATAGATCATGAGACCCGGTCGCTGCTCAGAGAGGCGAGTGGTGCAGGTGGTGGGTGGTCTGTTTATCCACCTTATCATGTGTGATAAATTATCACTTTGGGCTTCATAAAACGAGGGCAGATGACATCCAGTCCTTTATTTTTCAACCCACATCCTTTCCTCTCACCTAGCTGTGTCATTACTCTGCCTGAGTCTGCAACATGTTACACTGTCATTCACAGAAGATGAGTATTGTGTTTCAAAGGGCCAGTCTGCAGGAGGGTACCAGCCTGCCTCATTTACATTAGTTTTGGTTATATAATACATGCTGAGCTTATTAGCAGCATATGTTTTAAACATGAGGATCAGGTTGAGAGACTCTGCATGCTCGCATTTATTCGCTGCAGAGCTCTGTATTCATGTTGTACAATATGAAGAACACTTACTGTGACAAAAGGCAATTTGGCTTTCATGTTGGAAAATCTAACAAGACTTACTGCTCTCATTAAATAAGCTTTTGTGTTGTTTCTTGTCTTGCTGAGCTTGTGTGCACAGTAAATGATATGACATAACAGGAGGTCACACATTTGGATTTGATCATAATGATCTCTCTACAGCTTGTCAGATGGCAAAAACAAATGTAAAACATGAGTCTCTTCCTTTGCCTGGTTGAGTTAAAATTACAAATAAGCTAGGCACTTATTGAGTTTGCACTCATTTGAGATGTAATAGAAAAAGTGGCTGATGGCCCAATCAGAGGAGAGAGGAGCTGAAGAGATGTGGGCAGCATGTGTTGACTGGACTGCAGAGTGTTAAAGGTAAATCAAATAGACATGATGTCGTGTTTGTGTCCTTCTGTCTGGATTCTTACAGACTTTTTTTTAGATTTTGAACCTTGTCAGTGACAGCTGAATCTGAACTAAGACCAAAAAGCAGTGTGGACAATTTTTCTTTACGCTTTTTGTTAGGTTGAGGGTGTAAAAATAGAGGGTGTCACATGTTGTGCTGATTATGAAGCCCTTTGAGACAAATTTGTAATTTTGGGCTGTTTAAATACAGTTGATTTGACTTGTAAAAACAGTGAAAGAGGTTTTCTTTTAGAGCTGATAAAGCTTTATGGACTGAAGCGTCTTCAAACATCTTTACCCCAAACAGCAAGTCTAGCTGCCTTTGCCTCTAGATATGCTCAGACCTCTGAACGTACAGTATATGACCACACCTTTCACACTTCTGTCAGGTGATGACACATGAAAGCTTCAAAAAGTCATAAAGTGGACCAACCTCCAACACCAGCTTTTTGAACACTTGTAAGAAGGGCTCCTTTTGCTATATGGGTTGAAAAGCAGAACTGAGTAAAGCAGAATGAAACAGACAGGAAAGATTAAAGGGATGCTTTGACACATTGAGAAATAAGCTTATTTGCTTTCTGGCTAAGAGTGGTGAGAAGATGGAGCTACAGCAAGCAGAAGCTTAGCTCAAAGACTGAAAACAGGTGGAAACTGCTAGCCTGGCTCTGTCCAAAGGTAATAAATTTACCTACTAGCACATCTAATTACCACAATATATCTTGTTTGTTTTCACCTGTACAAAAACCAAAGTATAAATATGTCAGTTTACTGTTTTATTGGGGGGTTACGCATCAGATTATGTCTTGTCCGTAACCAGTAACTTACTGGATCTCACCGCTGGTTGCTTGGCAAACTGCTGAGCCAATAAAGGGGCAGATATGAGAGTGGTATTAAGTACAGTCTCAAAATGTATTTTTGTCAGGTTTTTCGAGTAGTCTCTAACTTTTCAAGTTTCAATGTAACTCAAAATCAAATATAGTTATTAGAGAAGGACAGGACACCTGCAACTGCATCCCACACACAGTAGTTCAGCAGTATTACAGGCAGAAGATCACGGAGCAATCCTGTTTCAGTTTCGGCTCTGTAAACATTGCCTGCTCACAGCTACTGGGCAGCTTACACAAGTTGAGTGCTCTGATGGTTTGCAATTCTTGCTCCCTCAGTCCTTACTTGTTGCCATGTTTTAGCATCTTTTGTCAATCTAAATGACCCTTAATATCTTTTTTCTTTCTTTCTTTTTTCTTTCTTTCTTTTAGGCTTGAAGCCTTAATACCCCACGAGGCAGAATTCTGAGATCAACTTACTCTCTTAATTTGATATACTTTCTGGTGGGGTGGGACATACTGTAACACTGACGGCTAGCATAGATCAATGAAATAACAGTTGGGAAAAAGGTAATTGTTTTTTATAGGAGAGGTGGAGCTCCTCCTTTATTAGAAAGAAATGTTATACCTGTTGGAATAGAGATACTTTTTTAAGGAAATAAATCAATACCATTGTGTGCATTTAAACATTAGTTGCAAATAGGGATATAATAACCAAAACTGGAAAAGCCATTCTTTGTTTCAAGCGAGTAGCAAATCTTCACTACACGGCCAGAAGTATGTAGACACAAAATATGAAACCTATATGTTTTCATGGAATATCTTTGTCAAAAACCATGGGCTTTATTCTGCTGCTAACAACCCCAACGGTCCCGGTTTGAGGCTTTCCAGCAGTTTAGCATCAGTGAAGCCCAAGACATTGGGTGACAAGGTCTGGCTCACAGTTGGCGTTCTGGTTCATCCCAGCAGTGTTGGAGGGGGGTTGAGGTCAGGGCTCTGTGCAGGCCAGTCAGGTTAGGTTCTTCCACACCAAACTGGTAAAAACATTTTTTTATGGAGTAAACCAGTAAACTACTTAAATGGACATTAGATGGAAAAAAATATTCTTCTTCACAATGAAGTGACCAAGTATTGTTTATCTATTTTGTCTTTATCGATCCTGTCTTAAAGTCACTGACCAGCAGCTCAGAAATCTTGGAGTTTTTATGATTTTTGATTATCATCACACAGAAATCACTAAACTCTCCTTTTCTATCGTGCTCCTCCACTTGGCTGAGATGGATTGAGCCTGAGGGTATCATGAACCTTTTAACTGATTCCTGTCTGGCCTTATTTTCATCTTCTTTTTGTGCTTTTGAACCTCCCTAAAAACAAACCTCTCACCTTGCATCCTTCGGCACCCTTGCCTTCTCAAAGGAGAACTTTGGCAGGCTGCTGGAGTCGTAGGTCCTGGATGTGGGCTCAGCAGACACTCCAGCTTTGGCGCCTTTCCTTCTATTGAGGGTTTCCTTGATGCGAACACTGAGGTTGGGGCTGCTCTTGCCGCCGGTTTTGATGGAAGGGGGCCTCGATGCCAGACATACCGCGGCCCCGCTCTGGTTCTTCATCACGTCCTGCAGCTTGTTGAGCTGGATGCACTTGTTCTGCAGCTCCTCGCTCAGCTCGGCCAGAGCTCGCGTCTGTTTGGCTAGCTGCTCCTGGAGACCTTTGATCTGCTGCTCTTTGGCACAAAGCTCCTCGTCTCTCCTCTTGCCCTCTCGCTCCAGCTCGTCCACTCGGGCCCTCAGAGAGTCCAGGGGCGAGTTTTTAAACCCGCCACCGTTATCTTTGTGCGCTCTGCAGTTGGCAGCAGCACAGGGGCCGTCTGTGTGTTTGTAACGCTTCGATTTCATCGAACCGTTCCCCATCTTATCACCTGAGGAGACGAGAGACGTTCCAAGTCAATATTTGCTGAAGTGATTGAAACGTTATCAAAGAGAAGCAAGCTTTTCCAGCAGTACAGTGACATTTAGCACAAAAAGGTCTGTTTGAGGAAGCTGGGAGTGAGGTTTCAAACAAAAGAGCTGAGGAGAGAAAACTGGAGAAAGATGGAAAGTGAGAGGAAAGGGAGCAAATCAGTATATAATGGTCAATGAGTGTGTCTCCTCCATTTATTATTCAGAAGGCAGGAAGTATTACATTACATCAACAGTCACTCCCTATCTGAGCGCAATGAAGGAAGAGCTGCTCAGGAAGCTTGTAAAAAAGGTAAAATCTATCAAAATGACTAACAATATGATTGAACTCTATAAAGTGAACTTTAAAGCATGTCTCTGTCCCCATAGTAATAGTGGACATGGGAGAAAATGTCAGAGAACAATCTTGTTTTTGTTGTTTGGGACTGCCGCCCACTCACACATACAGTAGACTTTATTCATGACATTCCTGCTGGGATACAGTGAGTGGATGTCAGATCATCACATTCTCCCAGCATTATTCTGAAAATCCAAATCAGTTACATCATTTATAAACCTATTTAGAGAGATTACTGAAGAAACTGCCCTCATTTTCTCCATTTGTTTTAAAGCTTCAACTCTGACTGGCAGATCAAAGATTTCCAGAAACAGGCGCTGGCATACAAGTGAGGACTTCCCATATCAAACAATATAACCCACCATTTTATGTATTTATTTTCTTGCGTGAAGGTAATTAAAAACTCTCTCGGTTAAGTTTACTTATTGAAACATCTCCTCAGAGGATCATGCACCTGCAACTTCCGATGCCTCGTCATTCTCCTCCAGAGATGTGAGGGATAAATAAATCCGTGTTTAGTTCACAGTGAATCTCAGTACTCACTTGATCAGTTTCCACAGCCTTCAGACAAACCAGGGAGCCGCTTTAAAAGAAGAAATAATGTGTTTGCACATTCGAGCATCCGTAGAGAAACAGTCCATCAACAGCGCCGGTCGCATCCTCTCCTGCCTCTGTCTCTCGCTCTCCCCCGGGCGCGCTCTTTTTCCACCTCGGCCGTGCGCGTTCACGCGTGCGCGGCAACCAGTATGATTGGCAGGTCAGGTCCGGTGTGAGCGACGTAGACCCCGTTTGTATTTGTTTTTTATTTATATAAGAATTATGCGTTTGTGTATTTGGGTAAAGTCAGCTCAGAAAGTTTATTGGTTGTGATAATGAGGCTAAAAAGAAGTGTTTTAAGTTACTGATGCGGACACCTTTAACATTAAATGAAATTCAAAACATAATATTTATGTTGTTAACCTCTGATCCAACCAGGAAAACCAGAAATCTGATGAATAAAATCACCAATAGCAAGTACAGTCACCTTAAAGGTTTCATCCCAAACGGGACCTTAAAACCACCCAGGAGCTTTCTCAAAATATAGAAATAACTAGTCCAATTCCAAATAATAACAGCTTTTTTTCTGACATGTCATAACATACACAATCAGACAAGCATTACATTAAAAAGATCATTGATAAAAAAAGGGGGGAAAAGACAGGATAAGTGCAAAATGGTATGTGTATATGATTCATGTTTTGATTCATGTTTTTGTTTCTCAGGAGAGGAGATGAGCAGTAAACATGACACTGGTAACAAAAAGCATAGCTGTTCACACATTCAAACACGTAGGTTGTAGAGAAAAAGTGCTATTTGAGATGGCATCAACAGGCCCACTTAGCTATGAATCATGCCTCATGCCCTTAGTTTAATTGTTTGTCAAAAGAAGCATCTAAATAGAAATCTAAATAAATCCAAATCTTGCATCAGGGAGCTTCCTTTAAAGTTTGGATATGTAACTTTTATCCCTGTTAAATTAATAAAAAATGGAACGCAACCTTGTTCAAGTCAACACAATGGTTTTGCTGCTACAACAGCGTTACTATGACCAGTAGCTTATCGTGGCTAATATTAGCTAACATTAAACTTTTGGATGGATGATGCCATGTAACCAACATTAGTGACTCAGTTGTCGGACATAAAGATTCCAATGTGTAACATTTAGGCAGAAATGGAATATAATTTTAATAATAATTGTTATATTTTTGTTATTTTTTAGAATGACGTGAAGGGAGGATGCAACTACAACTACACTGCTAGGTGGCATAAATCCTACACACTGGTCCCTTTAATGACTCTTCTGTACGATTAGGCTCTGTTTTAGCATTGATCATTATCCTGTAACTGTAACTTGTGGCCACAATTGATGGTGCTTAGCTAAATTTACATGGGCTCACTTTAAAGCTGCTTTGTTTTTGGAGGTGCACTTGGGGCCGGTAGAACAACATGAAAACACAACATCTAGCACACAAATTATATGGTTACACATTCAGCAGACACACAGCAACATTATGATTCATTTGGAGTTCTGTTTCTGGCCACTCAGGCCAACAAGTCCAATATTCTCTCTCCTTTTGGCTTCAGTTTGATCTGCACCACTATGGTATAAACAAAAAAATCTGGATCTTTGCTGCTAGATGTTCCACTTCCTTCACCAGCTAGTTGCTAACTTTGTCTGTCTGCTGTTTGGTGCTGGGCAGGTAGCGTACAGGTTCATTGCAGTTGTTTGCTCAGCTGTCTGCTGCTGCTACTGCTGGGAAGAGAGCGGTGAGGGTGAGCCAGAGCAGTAAAGTTGTGGGCTGAGCTGAAAGATGCTAAAATGCTACGTAGACCTAAGGGAACCCTTTTGCTGATAACTCACTGTGGGGACTCTGACACCTTTCACACTACATGTAGTCTTTATATAGAAGTACTCGTCAGAACAGTTGGAAAAAAGACAAGCGATTCAATTAAAGAGAGAGGGTGGAGACAATTAAGTGCAATACTCAATATATTTCCTTTAATCTGATCATTGTCTCCTCTTGCTCTCTGTGGTCATGTGATGCATTTTACTCTTTTTGTACAAGCTAAAGTCTGCAACCCAAAGCTGCTGGCTTTCAGATTCAGAAATGATTAATTGGTTTTCCCAGTGTGTTTGTCTCTGACGCCAGTCTGAGTAGCCTGGCCTGCAGCACATTTTATTGACAGGGACAGAACAATAATGGCAGGTGGCCAAACCTGATTCAGCTGCAGCACTCAGACCACAGCAAACTAATCCAGGTCAGTGACCCATCCCAACCTGAACCTGAGAGGAAATCTGAGAGGTTGGCAAATGATCAGAGGGCATATATTAAATGAGCAAACCTGCTTACAATAAAGGCCTTTAGCTGACTCTATAATGTTATATAGGGCTTCAGTAACTTGCTTAAGGGCACTCTGGCAGAAGAAATATTGAGATTGGAAGAACTGAACCTTGGTGGCTGGTTTGTAACCATGCCACCCCACATCCAGACAGTCAGTGTAGTTGACATTCTGTTTGTAGTTTTCATTTGCTCCTCATGTTTATGTGTCCTCAGGTTGTTTACAGTGTCCACAACCTCACTGTACTGGTTAGCTGACAGGATATTACAGTATGTATGTACGGTTTAGTTGCAAGATGACATTTAGACCCAAAATTCTTAAGTCTGTCTTAATATGTTAAAAGTTTGATGAGAAGGGCAAAAGCTCAGTAGCTTTTTACCTCCAGTTGCCACAAGATAACATGTCACCAGTAATTGGTGGAAGGTTTAAAGTTGAGTACAGTGGTTCATAACCTTTGGGCTTCTGACCACTTGAAAGAAAGCCATATTTTCTTGTGACCCATAAAAGTATAAAACTGAAGGTAACAGATTAGAGGATAGTCAGAAATAACAATAAAACAAATATGTGTGACTTGTTGGTGTCTAAAGGCCTTGTAGTTCTTTTGATACCATACTACGGCACTGCATGTAGTATATTTAGTGAACGATTTTCTTAAGAAAATGCCACAGAATAGTAATATGTTGAAGGTTTTCTAATATATTATGACATAGTGTTTTCTAAATGTTAACTCTAACTGTCCTATTACTGTGTGTGTTAATTGTTTTGAATGCCAGGCTTTAGTTTGAGTTTTTAAATGTGATTATGTAAGTGTGAGGTTTGTTGGCACCACTACTTCCCATGTCACATGATGACAACAACTGAATTTCCCTGCGGGGATCAATAAAGGTTTTATCTTTTCTCATGATATTCTTGATGAGTAGTGTTTAGGACGATGATGTGATAACATCATAGTGTATGTTGTCATTTTGTGCGGACCATAGAATAGTAAAACATGATGTATTGCACTGCATGATGTTTATAAGCATCATATTATGTTTTCATTTCATCATGTTTTTTCACACTGGAGTAAGGCAGGATATTGTTACTATGCACATATTTGAACAGTGTGGTCTAATATATTATTTGAACCCCAATGCATTACACTTTAAACACCTTTGTGTGTCAGTTGTGAATGCTATTGAATATAACGCAATGTTTAAGTGTTATGCAATAATATCATTGTTTGAACTACTGACATGATGTTGTGGAAATTGTGAAAAAAATATATCTTGAATGTGATAATAAATGTTGAGATAAAGAGTCACAGCAACAACAATAGCAACAACTAAACTAGTACAAATGATTAATTATGATGATGCCGTCTTTTTCTCATGCAGGTGTCAACCAAAGCGTGATCGCAGCATGGTAAAGTGTGATGTGATTGTGACTGCACACATTAATCATATCTCTGCTAGAAAATTGGTTCTTTTCATAAGTAATGAGTTTATTAGTTATTCATCTCACATTTTGTATATTGAGTGGCAGAAGTGTAACTCAGCAGCAACACTGTCAGTTGCATTAACTGCATTTGGTCACTTGGTGGAGCCAGATTTGTGTGTTTGTTTTCTGCCTCCATCCATTCAAGTCCAACATCAGCAGAAAACATGATCACATTAGTTCAGTCTTTTCTCAGTGTCTTCCTCAAATATTGATCATAAAGTTTATGTTTCTTCTTACACAGCATTTTATAATACCCCTTCATATATTTCTGTTTTACTTCCAAGAAAGTTCTGTACCTTCCAATATTTATAGATTTTTCTTCTTTTTTTGGAATAGGGGAACAGAACTTCTTTTAATTCTTTACTAGATTTGTTTTCCAGGTCCCTGACTCATACTGAATTATGTCTCCATGTCAGTTTGCATAAGATGTTATTTAGGATTTGGTATGATGATATGGTAATCTATTAAAGGTCCAGTGTGTAATATTGGTGTATGATCATCTGAATGATGTTTTTAATTACACAGGGAGAGGGTTGTCTTCCACAGAGGCCGCCATATTGATTGGTCCACACCGGATCCAGATTTTTAATGCTGTTATACGTTTATTTTCATGCAGTCTGTTCCTGGGTGTTGTAAACTGCCAACAGCCAATCTGTGACGCCTCATGCCAAAGGGACCCCAGCAGTTTACCTAGTGAGTCTACTTTTCTCTGCATGAAGTCCTCTTTGCGGTGTTGCTCTTAACCTTTTGATACATTACTTGTGCCACAAGAATATATCTGGGCAGACAAAACAAATCTACACTGTGTCAGCCGAGTGTTTTAGTGTCTGTGACAAAAGTGGAAAGTTGGCTCATTAACAGCACCCGGAACAGAGGGTCAGAACCTTTCATGATGTTAGACATGTATGAAGCTGTGTTGCTTTGTCCTTACAGATCAGAGTGGAAAGAAAACACATGCTGAATGGTAATAACTTTGCTTTTATCATTTATTTTCATTAAAAACAAATGTATGCATCATTTACTGTGAGAAGCTAGAGCCAGTAGTGTCCAGTATAGCATATACCAAAACAGGGACCTACCAAGGCTTCTAAATTAATTTACTATGAAAGCCTTAAAGGTACTTAATCATTTTCTTAATTTTGTTACAGTAGCCACCTCGATCCCCAGTGTCTCCTCACAGTTTATTTTTTATTTTTTATTGAGCTGCGTTAAGTGTCAGTCCACTGTGTAGTGTCTTTTATATTGACCCTTTTCCCAAATATCAAACACAAATTTACATCTTCCTGATAAATATTTGTATGTGTAAACTGAGAATCTAACAATTGATAATCTGAACGGAAATGTATTAACTATTTAATCCTTTTGTGTAGTTTAATCTGTAACCAATACTTCAAAATATCCTGAAAGGAAATTAAAGCATATTTGACTGAGGAATAAGTAGAAGTAATCAAACATTTATTAGCTTTCTGTGACATTCAGCAGTATAAAGCTTCAAAAAGCTAGTAAGTGAACTAATGACCTTTTTTTTTTCCCTCACACATGCTGTGTTCCCACGTGACAAGAAAACAAAAGCAGTTAACAGACCCAGTCAGTTCATATTTTTTAAACATTTTATTAACTCTCTTTTAAACACTACTAATTCATTTATAAACGGTTCCGCTATTCCATTTTAACAGTCCAAATACAAATGAATGAACACAGGGAGGAAAAAAAGAAACAGTATGTACAATAAACCACAACAGCGCTCAGTGTTGAGGGAGGAGCAAAGCAAGGCAAAGCAGATATCAGTCAAAAGTATTTAACTTCATGCTCTGAGCTAGTACCTTGAAAAAAGTGTTCCATACAAACTTGTATAAAAAATAATAAAGGACTACTTAAGCATGTCATGTACCTAGTACAAAATTAAATAACAATAAAATAATAGTACATATTGGCATGAGGACATAATGTGACTACACAAATAGATTTATAAATAAAACATACGGTGGGAACATTACTTTTTAATATGAAAAATAAAAACATAAACAGGATATTATTTAGCATGTCTAGGGTTTAAACAGAAATCCTCGGTTCACATTATTCAAACACATGAAATCCATTCACTTTTCTAACTGAACCACCAGGGGGCAGCACAACCACACTCATTTTCTACATCAGAGCAGGAACAAAAGGGGAAAGTATGAATAGTAGCCCTCTGCTGCTGAGCACATAAGCCAGCCTGTGGGCTATTTTAAACACTGATTATCAAGAACAACAGGAAACACACTATCATCACACCTTCCATTTAAGCTCTCTGCTAAAGGGCCCCAGTATGCTTCACATGAAGTGCTTGTCAGAGCATCCAACAGCATCTCAAACCCGCAATTCCTACGCCGTATGGTTGAACATCATCTAAAACCCTCTTTGGTTGAAGCTTACTGACACCTTAATGCATCCGAAGCATACTGAGGCCCTGAGTGTGTCAAAGATAAACGAGGGAAGTGTTGCTTCCTGTTGACGAAAATCACAAAACTTTATACAACACAAACAAACAAGAAAACTCAGTTACTCTTAATCTTTAAATTGCAACCAGTGCATTTTTTTCTTACACATAACAATTAACAAAACCTTCAGAAAACATGACGTGAGAGATACTCAGGTATTGTACAAAAGGAAAGTAAACCAAACAAACAAACAAAAGCAAATAATAGCTAGCATAATGATGAACAGTGTTGCGGGAAAGGTTTGAATTCTCCGTACAAAGAATGCTGGCTTATGGAACCAGCGACAGTAGCGTTTCTGTTGAGTTAGCCAACCAGCAGCTAACTTTGTAGCTTCAGTGGAAAAGAACTTGTTGAAAACTAGTGTCGGGGGGGGGGACCACCAACAACCCCAACAACCCCAATGACTCCATTAACGCTCACAGAAGGTTTATCAGGGTTCTTTTTTTTTTTTCAAAAAGACTACAAAGTCATACAAAGAGATGAAAAAAAAAAGACAGCTGTCCTGAAATATACAGCACAAAGAGCAAGAGGGTAAGGAAAAGCAGAGCTTATTAGAAATCTGAAGCTGGGGGAACACAAAAGATCCTCGCCAGCCAAAGTAGAGATTGTCGTTTCCCTTCCAACACGGGGATACTTTGTTTGGACAACAGCGGCGTCTACAGGGCACGGCTCGCTTGTCAGGTTTGTCATCATTCTGGTTTCTTCAGAACTTTAGACCCTGCTTAGCAGAGTGGATCTGTGGAGAGAAGACAGAAGCACGTTAACGTCAGAAGATAATCCTCTGATGTGTCATATTAGATAGAAATGACTTATTTGTTTTAAGAGTTCTTAACATGCAAGACTTGGTAATATATAATCACCTTTCCTGCTCAGCAATATGTAAAAAAAAACCCAAACAGATCTCAGTGTAATTTTTCAGTTATAAACAGAATGTTAGTCGCAGCAACAGTTTGCGTGTTGTGGATTTCTAGGGGTGATGTGTGTAGAGAGTCTGCAGAGCTGAGCAGCACGTTCTGCTGACGCCGCTCGGCTACAATAAAGTGACAGATCGTGTCGCAGTGGAGGCGAGGCTCGGGGGGGATGCAGATAGGGTTGGCAGGCGATCAGGAAACGTGACCACACACACAAACCACAGTGGATTCACCCTGGCTGGGTTTAACCCAACGCCCACAGGGCTCTGGGTCCAAAACCTGCTCTCACCTCTGACCCTTGCCAGTAGATCTGATTCATATGTCTATATATGAGTGCTTGTGTGTGTGTGTGTGTGTGTGTGTGTGTGTGTGTGTGTGTGGGGTCAGTTCTTGGCAACCTGCAGCATGACTGTCAGCTCTGAATCATGTGTTCACTGGCCATAAATACTAGCTTTATTTTTATATGTGTTTCTATGTTTTTTGTTTTGTTTTTCCTCCCTTGTAAGAGTAGGTCTTCTGTAAACTTCTGAAAACTGTAAGTCAGCTGTGTTTGGATGAGTTTAACACATGAGAATATATTTTTCCTTACTTGTACTTTTAAGATTCATTCATTTATATATTTTAGACATATAGAGAGCAGGAGAATTCTACAACAAGCTGGCAAACATACAGCCCTGATTAGGAAACTGTTGTGCTTCTGTCCAATTATCACTTTCAGCTCTGCTTTGGTCTCCATCAACTCAAACATGACTCTTCATTTTTAATATATTTTTAAGTTATACAACTTTCTGTAGGTGGCGATCCGGTCTTTGTTTGGCAAAGATGGCTACTGCTAGGCACCCTAACTACTGGGGCTTGTCTTCCATATCTGCCAAATAAATATTTAATGTTAAATGCATAGCTTCTTATGCAAGAGAATCTTTCTTAAGAAAAAAGCTGCCAGACACAGAGAGGTTAAAACATAAAACTTTCACTGGTAAGAGTACTGTGAGCCCTCTAATCAATAAAGCTGAGAATCACATTTAGTAGTTAAAAATGTGAGGATTTTTTACACAGCTGGACTGTATTCTTTTTATTTGTTGTTTGTAGTTTTTCATTGTTGCTCATCATCTGTATTTACATCGACACCTTTTCACTTACAGCAAGTTCGCACAGTTTTAAACCTATTTCACTTTTATTCCATTGACTTAATTTTTTCATGGAAGTGATGCCCCAGACAGATCTCATGATTGCTGGATGACCCATTTTGTCACTGCGGAAAAACCCAATGTCCCTGAATCAGTTTGTGTCAATTATACTTCAGCGTGTGATGCTGAAGCAAGAGGAAATATCCCTCTGTCAGCTCTCTAGGGCTTTCTTCAATGAGTTAGAGCCGACTGAACAAAGACTATTTTCTCTCATCCATCTTCTCACATACACACAAACGTCCAGAGTGCTGTGTCATAAGGGGGGTTCGGTGTGTGTGCGTAATAGGATGTAATTGTGTGAAAATGACTGATGTCCTTTACGTGTGTCTATGCAAGCGATGGTGTGACAAAGAAGAATGATGGGCACCCGTGTGTGTGTGTGTGTATGTGTGTGTATGCGCGCATGTATGTGCGTTTAATGCATTTATTGAATAGCGTGCAGGTCAGCATCAGTGTGTGACCTACATCCCTCCGGGTCTGCATGGTCAGTGGGGAAGCAGGAGGCAATGTGGGGTGACAGCCGTGATTGAAAGACTAAAACCCTGAGGGTGAGTGTGCGTGTGGGGGGGGGGGGGGTTCATACACACCTCAGAGACTTCCATCTGTCCTTCTCCATGTTATTCTCAGGACCTTCGCTCTCATAGGATGCCAGATACAACGCTGCAATAAGAACATCAAAGAAACATTAGCTTTTCTGAAGTTATTTCTTGAAGACATGACATCCATCCTGAAAAACTGATCGCTGGGATGAACTGACTGATCTTATTGGCTCGTCTGATTTCCTTGACTTACAGTTAAGGATCATAATATTCATGACCCTGGCTCAATAGTACGGGTGTAACGATCCATTGAACTGGATCGATTTATCTATTTAATGATTTTTATTTTTTTTTTCCAACAGATTTTGGATGGGATGGGTCAAATAAACCTGCTTCCCCTTGCACACTCTGATTCTCTGTCTATGTACAGATTGGTTCACAAGAGGATGTTCACTATCGGCTGTAGAAGAGCCGATTGGTCAGTTCAGTCGGTGCACTTCAGTGTCAGGAGGATTTCACAGAGCTCCCCGTCTCTCTCTGATAAGACGACGATAAGCCAGCTACACACGACTTTGATGTGGATTAAAAAGGAGACCGAGACTATCAGTAGCTGCTCGAGTATGAGAGGTGATAACAAGGTGTATGTGGATTTGTGGCTTAGTAGGAAACAAAAATCATTCGGTCTGTGGTTTACTATAGCTTATCAAAGGACAATGAACATAGAGTGCATCACTGTGTTTTCTGCGGTTATTCATTTACATCCAAGATTTACACCTGCACTCCAGTACTGACTGGTGTAATCACCTATTTGGTTATAATTTGGTATGAAGTAAACTGATGATTTCTTTAGTAACAGCAATGTTTTATTCGATAATGTGTTGCTGTCACTGTAGAAAAACACATGATTCAAGTTAATGCAAACTATGTCTGACATGCGGGTTGAAAAAGTCAAATAATATTTGATTTTGGACACCTAACTGACCAGAAATCATATGTTGACCATAATTGCAGTTCAGGATACTGATGTTAAATGAATACTATTTAGCATACAGACATTAGTGTGGTATCAATGTGAACTAACACTTGGCCAGAAAGCGTATTTTGCAAAATGTAACCAATTAATTATGCACAAAGATCCTATAATCCATTCATTCATTTATAAGCGTACCATCTTCCGTGAACGCTGGAGCAGTCAGCAGGTACTGCAGAATCTTGCGATCCTTCTCAAACGGACATTCCACTTTCTTCCAGGTCATGAACTTACTCACTTGTTTGGCGAGTTCCCAGAATTTCTGAAATAAAACCAAAGACAGACGATACAGGTTCATATTCAGAAGGAAGCAACATGTTTAAGGGTCTATACTACACAGTCTATGCATAGTTGACTATTACTACTTTACTCCATGCTCCAAATATTACTGTCACACTGCCTTTGCGCAAGGTATGTAACCTTGAAGGGCTCCACTGAAGCTGCCCAAGTGACCTAACATAACACTGTGGTTATAGTAGCTGTTCTGAAGTGTTAATGTGTTCAAATGTACTGGATAAATACCCAAGATAGAATGAATCCTTAAAATAGTGTCTGACTCAGTGTAGCTGTGACCCAAGAACAGTGGAAATACTTATGAGTCTTTGGTCACTGGTCAGTAGGTTTGTTCCATGGAAACGCAGCTGTATTTTACACACTCAAGACTGACTTCTTTATTCTTTAGGGAAGTGGAAATAAAAAGCATCCGTTGCCATGTGTAGTAAATATAGTGACGCTGTTTTCTGACACAGAGAAGTCAGCTGTGGGAAAAAAAGTAAATCTGGTGTAATCTGTTGCTGAGGAAACTCCCCTGGGGAATTTTAAATTCGGTTTACCTCAAAGTTGACGTGCCCGTTCTGCAGCCTGTTTGCACAGCCCTCGTTGAGGAAGTAGATGTCTTTAATGAGCAGGCTGAAGAAAGGGATGACAATCTGCAAGACAACAGAAAGTGAATGGGATTTAATTTCGCTGAGAAGATGTGAAGGGGGATTTCCATATGACTCACAGGTGTGTGGTCTTTATAAACATGGATTCAAAAGGAAAAGGATTACAATAGACAAAGAGGATCTCTTGTTCATTTCCTGGGAAAAACAGACCCTCTTCTGTTCTGATCATAAACACATCTTCATCATTAGATACTCGGTAATGTTCCATTCTTACAGGCCTGTAGCAGCATGTATGAATGCAACCTTTAATAACCTTAAAACAAAATTTCTCTAACCAAAAATAGAGAAGTGAAATTAGAATAGATTTTCCAGAGAAGAAGAATTCCCCTTTAAAGCCCCGTAAATAATTCATCGCCACCCTCACAATGATTCAGGTCACTGCGTGTCTGAGCACTAACATAGATGTTGATGGAGAGCAAGGTGTGGAAGAAGCACCAGACTCCATTCAAATAACAGTCAATTTTACACTGCTGGGCACTTTTCTCTCTTCTCAGGAAATTAAACTGGCTGGCTGGTTAAACATGGCATTTATCAGCTGCCGTGGCTGATAAATAAACACCACTTTTGTTCCTGTGTGTCGAGAGACTGCTGCAATCTGGCACAGTGACCTATAAAAAAAGAAAACTCTTTCCTGACAGTCCCACACATCCCCACCCAATATTATCAAACATTCATGATGGTGGAGCTTTTAAGAGATTAAATACCAGAGGGGGTAGCAGCAATGTATCAAATGCACATTTTTGTTGCGCTCTGTGTTTTATTTAACCAAAGTCATATTGATTGTATCAGAGGTTGCACTTGAATAAACCCCACACACCCTTTCCTAATTAGGTCTCTTCACAAGATAGTCGTTTTGTCGAGCCAGTGAATCCATCTGATTTCTCTTTATCTGCTCTTGGCTGATTTGTATTGTAAGCTTGTTTCTGTGAAATTGTGCCTCCACACCATCCTTCGACAAAATCTGAGTGCGGCTGACAACTAGTTAACTTGATGTCAGTGAAGTCAGGGAGTCTGCACACAGTGTACTCTGAGGGCTCTGTAGGAGCAGGATGTTTACAAGGACATGCTCGTATGCCCAATCTGGAGACTGTTGTCATGCATGCACACGTCTGTACAAACATGTTCTGCTTTTAGAGGAAAAAAGGTGCCCAACAGGAACAGAAAGGAAGTCGATTTCACAGCTGGACACATCTGGGATGTTGAGGGTCTGGAAGCACTTCGTGTGATGTAACTGGGTGTGAACTGGAATATTTTCTACATTCTTCTCTGCTGCTGTACAACCAAACATGTGATATACCAAGTCTGCCTCAGATCAGCTGTTTAACATTTTGTTTAAATGTTATTTCACAAAGTAATCAACACAGCAACAACTGTCGGAAGATTTCAATCTCTGTGTCCTCACAGCAGAGAACAGAACTACAGCAAAACTGGATCCAAATGAAGCATGAATGCCGGCTCTGACAAAGTAAACAGCACTGTGGATGGCTAGAGGAGATCATAAACAACCCCCCCACCCCTCCTTATAAAGGAGAGGCCACAAGGGCAAGAACATACCAGACTTCTTGGGAACTTTCCGTTTCATGACCCCGACCTCTTGCCCGGGTATGTTTGCATTCCTGAGTTCCGAAAAAACATCCCTCACAAACCTCAGGGAGCCAGATACATATTGACAGTACACTCTGTCTCCATGAAAAAAACACATTATTCAACATGTGATGTACGAGGAGAGACTAACCACTAACGTCTGACAGCCCACGAGCTCTGTGCTGGTTCAGATTCAGGGCGGGTAACTCAAGAAGCAGCAGAGAACACTATGTGATCTGGCAGGCAACCGTTTTTTCTCTTTCTTCCCTTGTTGAGGAAAACACAACATGTTTGATGAGGAGGAAACCAAGACCCTCCTCATATCTTGACCCACTTATAACTCAACCTCTGTGTCCCCCCTCTGGGCTACGTGGTTATGCAACCGCTGTTCTCCGTCCAAGTCCGCTGCGCTCGTGTTTACGGCTGCTGATGCTGTAAGCACGATGGGAACGCCGCTCCCAGACGATAACAAGGCACAAGGAATGACAGCGCTATGGTTCGTTATTCTGCTTTGCCTTCCCCTCCCTCAAGTTCCATGTTGCAGCACATGAAGTTAAAAAGCGGTGTGATAAGCATCTCAAGTTTTTACATAACTGTAATCAGCACAAAGGATCTCTGCTGCAACATGCGTCACCAACACTTTGTCCAGGGTGGTCCAGTGGTCAGAGTGCTTATTCTGATACTGAGAGGTCACTTTTGGTTCATCTAGCAGCTGTCAAGTGGTCTTTAGCAAGATGAGGATGTTAGCTCAGCAAAATGTATGAAATGTAAACCAAAGTCTGGAGTGCAGATGTTTAAAAGTTTGTGGATTTTATAAACCGCAGCTACTGGATGTGTTTGTACAAAAGAAATGTTTGTTGACTTTTTGGTAAGTTGGACTTCATTAACTGTCATTGACCTGACTAGACTCAGACTTTCTCCAAATGTGATTTCCCAGTGATGGTGGTTTTGCTAGAATTTCAATCTCTATTTAACAAGCTGCACATTAAATGTCAGCATGTAAATTTAATTTGCACTCCTGAGTCCTGCCCAGCGTGTTGCATTCAGATGGGAGCTGAGCTAACCGTGAACCAAATGAAAAAGTTGAGATTATATTCAAATGTTTAAAATTCAGGAGATCATTTTCTATGATCATTCTACGAAAAGAGGCCATGCAGCTCAATCATACAATCATTGTGTGCTGAGGCCTCACCTTTTCTCTGCTGCTGTTGGCAGTGATCGATCTCTGGGTGGCTCCTCTCAGCGCTGTTCTGTAGTTGTAGAAATTGCTGGAAGGATCCATCTGGTGCTATGGAAAAAAAAACAAAAAAAACATACAGTGTCAGTTTGATAACAAAATGACCATCGAGCACATTAACTTAAAATTAACTAATCATTAGCAATGATTCACGTCAAATAAGGCTCAGAGGGACAAAACAGGAGCGTAAAAGAAATAAAAAAAGTAAAGAATGACAAAAGAATGACAAACAGAAGGAGAAAGATGGAGATGAAATCCGGTGAGACATGAAGGGAACCTAAAGAACTGAGTCTTTGAAAGCCTCAGACTCGTCTCCACTTCAGATCTCCTCTTTCAAAGGGCCGACTGAAGGCCTGTTGGGCTCAGAGTGTCTTTCCTGCAGTATCTGGGGTTTCCTCAGGTACCACAGGGAGGGGAGAGGTCTGTGTGTAATTTCTACCCCAGTTACACCTCAGCATCTGGGCAGGAGTCTGCTGCATTCCCTTTGCCTTCACCCGCTTTCAACCCCATGGATACGTCAGTTCCATGTTGGGTGTTAGATTTGCTTGTTTATTGCCATTTCTAAAGTCTTACTCTGGACTTTCCTTGAGGGACACATCTCCAGATGACTGCTACTCTGTTTTGTTTCCTTTTAACCATTACGTTTGAATAAAAAGTCAAACATTTTGTGCAAGAATTATTAATCATATTACTCTTTTTTCCTTAGGAAAGGGGATATCTTTTTTTGCTTTTTTTACCTGTATTTTTTTGGCTACATATGAGGGTTAGGGTTAGACACCAATTTAGGACTGCTATACTGTGATTGATATTTTACAAGCAACCAATGCTATTTCTTTTTTTATGATAGCGACAGCTGAAGACAGACAGGAAAGGGAGGCAGAGAGAGGGGATGACACACAGCGAAGGGCCACAGGTCGGATTCGAACCCTGGGCCGCTGCAGCAAGGACTCAGCCTCGGTACATGGGTCGCCAGCTCTACCCACTGAGCTAACTGGGCGCCCG